CAATTCATTCTTATTCACCCTATGGCTGATTTCTTGAAAGACATGGCTAGGAGTGCATGGCAACCGTCAACGCTCTTCCGCTGAAGACGTCAATACTTTGGCCGTAAATTGTGGCCAGACTGTCATCGAAACGCTGAGGGTTCCTAGCCTGAGTGAAAGCGCAGCTTCTATCCTGACCCAGGCTTTTGAAAGCCGCCGCTGGGCCTTTGACAATAGTTCAATTTGGCTTTTATCCGAGATTCTTGCCGATTCATTCGTCACAGCGCGTATCGCTGCAGTGAGAAGTGGAGACGAAGGCAACGAGAGCATGTCGTTTGTCGACCTACTGATAGCCTACGTCTCACACTTACACTTGGAAATCTTCAGTGACCCAGTTACACCACAAAATGTGGCGATTCTGGCCCTCGTGCACGGTATCTTTGAGACTCCTGGATATGCTGCCATTGATGATCTTGGTACCCCACGGGTTTTGGAGTTTTGGAACGAGATTGCCGAGAGCCTCCCCGATGAACTGGAAGAAGATAGCTCAAGATATCAGCTGGTGAAGTCCCATGTAGCTCAAGTTGTCTTGGGACTTTCCAGCAAGTTACTATACCCTAGTTCTGAAGATTTGGAAGATTGGACCGATGAAGAGCGGAGCGAATTTAGCGCTTTCCGCCATGATGCTTGTGACTACCTTCTATCGGCGTACCCGGTCCTTGGTGTCGAACTAGTGACTGTCTTCCAGAAAAGCGCAACCTCTTACCTAGAGGCTCGGGACTGGCGTAACTTCGAGACAGCTATGTTCTGCATCGCTCAACTCTCGGAGGCAGTGGACGAAAATGGCCACGCCGATCAGTGTCTGGATGCTATTTTCGGAAGTGATTCCTTCGCCCGGCTTTGCGCTGGTGGTGAGACAGAGATACCGCTTAAGGCTCGTCAGACCCTGGTGGATTCGTTCGGGAAATATCAATCATACTTTGAACGACACAGGGCATTACTTGCTGGTGTTCTCAACATCCTATTTGACTCTCTCAATTACGAACTGTGTGCTCAAGCAGCTTCAAGATCTATCTTGACTCTCTCAAAGTCCTGCGCCCGCGCGTTGACATCAGATCTTCCGGCATTTTTAGATCAGCTGGACCAGTTCAGAAGCAAGCCGACGGCAACCGTTTCTACCATGCCAAAGGTTTTGGAAGGCATTGCGAGTATCATTCAGAACTTGCCCACCGATCAAGAGAAAGTGCAGACCCTGGAGAGAATCCTCAGCTTCTTTGTCCAAGAAGCCAACACAGCGCGTGCAGAGGTCACCGGCCCTGCACATGAGTCTGGTCGTGCACGCGGTCACCTTGTACTGAGCTGCATTGCAAGTATTGGAAGGGGTCTTCGTTCTGAAAACGATGAACCCATCAATATTGACACTCTATCGGAAGGAAATCCTTATCCCCCGTCTTTCTGGAACGCCGGACCGGGTGCCGAAGCCCAAAGGTTAATCATGGAGTCCATGAGACTTCTCATTGTGGACTTCCCCGTGGATAACAGCATCATCGAAGCAGCCTGCGATATTTTGAAGGCTGGGTACACAGAGACAGCAGGGCTTTTTGTCTTCCCACCCTCGATGACGGTTGATTTCATCAAAAGCTTCCCACTTGGTATTTCTGGAACAGATGTTATCATGGCGACTGCATCGTCATTTTTGGCATCCCACGCTTCTCATGCCATGAATATTCGCAGCGAAGCCGCAGCGCTGATCGATCATGTCGCCCAACTGTTCTCTTCGATGCTTCAGAACCCAGACTTGTACGACCCAGAGACTGCGAATGCCGGGATTGACTTCCTGGCGCGTCTCCTGCCAAAGTACTATCCGATTCTGTTTACTTCCGGACCAGAACTCACCCCGGAATCTCCTCTCGTTGTGTTACTCCATTTCACGCTTCACGCATTAACACGGGCTGAACCACTCCCTCTCCGATCCGCCTCATTATTCTGGATTGCATTAATCGACCTCCGCGGCAATTCCCAAGAAGAAACTTCCATCATTGAATCAGTCCATCGAGAATTCATCCCGCGCTTGTGCTATACCATCATCCAACAAATTGCAGGCCAGTGCGCAAGGTCAGACCTGGTTTCACTGAACGATGCCCTCCGACGTGTTATTTTCAAAAAAATGGTACTGGCTCGCCCGGCTCTGAGAGCTGCACTCGACTCGTTGAATGCGCAGGTCACAGATCCAAGCGGACAGCAGGTGCCTCTCCTCTCCCCGCAGGACAAGTCTCGATTCTTGGAGTCCCTTGCTATTGCCCGCGGTGCCCAGAAACAGTCACTCGATATTGTGCGTGCCTTTTGGTTGAAATGCCGCGGAATGAATTTCGATTATGCTCAGTGATGAGAGTTGCGCGTGAATATGACATGATGAGGAGTTGATGGGACCTGCAACTTCGGTTCGTTTGTTTAGATATCCATTTGCATGATATGCGGTGCAGGATCATTTGACTAATTTTATGCGATATTGTTTATTTAAATGTTCATGATATCTTATGTAGACAGGGAAGCACCGCCTCATGTTTATACTGCGCCACAGGTAAAAATAGTGTTGATACAGTGGAGATCAGGTGGAGAGTAGACAACTATTTTTTGCATTCCTCACCGCATTGCATTGACATTTTTAGGCTGACAACTCTGTGAGGCATCTTACCCTTATGTGTTATTTCTATGCCTCATATCGCTAACACACCTGAATCACTGCTCGCTCGCGCAGACTCCCGGAACCCAACAACAACATGTAAAGGAATCACCGCGAATGGGCGGCCTTGCCGCCGAGTCTTGGCATCCACACAGGGCTCTTCGCCCTCAGTGACCCAGAAAAAGGGCACAAACTATCAAGCGACAAATTTGGAGTCGCTATACTGTTGGCAACATAAAGACCAGGCGATAGCATCTACGCCATGCGTCAGTTCGATTCCCGAGGGAAATCCGAGGACGAGCATCGATACCTTAATGGACCGCCTCGGAGTACTTGAAATCAATGATGAATCTGCTCCTCAGAAAACGCAGCGAAAGCAGACCCAACTTCCAGGCAAGACGGGTATTAGCGAAAAACGTCGACCAAAAAAAAAGAGCACGTTCTGCTGCTTTACAATCGACGAGGACAGTGACGATGGCACCCCTTCAAAACCCATCCAGAGACCTATGCAACAACGTCCAACTGGACCATCACCTTACCAGACTCCATATAAAGGAGCCCAAAAACCAAAACCCACCTCGGCCCAACGCCCCCCAAACGGCCGAGTACCAGCACCATCCACCCAAGGCCCAACCCGGCCTCAAGCCCAGAAACAAAGACACTCATCAACATCCTCACAAACCCAATCCCTGTTATCCTGGATTCCCCCAACACTACCCCCACAAACGACCTCAACCCTCCTCACAGAACTAGCCAAACCAATCTCAGAAGCCGACGACGAAGGCTACATCTACATGTTCTGGGTAACGCCCCAGAAAACAACAAGCACAAGAGGCGAACCACCAACCCTGCCATCGCGAGATCTAGCAGCTTCCCTCATCCCACCAACCCAACCAAACAACAGCACCCATCTCCGGCCCCCAACCCAGTCTCGCAGCGTGAGCGATGCACTCCGCACCGCGAAGGATCTCAACGCCCTATCCTCAAACCCCACATCGACAAGTCCCGGCACGATACGGCTTAAGATTGGGCGCACGAGTAATGTGCACCGTCGGTTGAATGAGTGGTCGAAGCAGTGTTCGCATGATTTAACGCTTATTCGATACTATCCTTACACGTCTTCTTCTTGTTCTTCATCTTCGGCGGCTAGGAAAAAGGAAAAGGGCGCTGCTGAGATGCTAGCGCCTGGTCGGAAGGTTCCGCATGTTCATCGTGTTGAAAGGCTTATTCATCTTGAGTTGGCGGCGTTGCGGGTTCGGGATCTTGGGAAGTGTGCGGATTGTGGAAAGGAGCATCGGGAGTGGTTTGAGGTTGAGGCTAGTAAGGAGGCACTTAAGAGTATTGATGATTGTGTTCGGAGGTGGGTTTCTTGGGGTGAATCTGTTTGAGATTTGAGATTTATAGATTGGGGTCTGGTGTCGTATTTGTTGTTTTTGTATATAGCATAGCGGTATATTTTGTCATTTGATGGAATGCCATTTTAGACTTGCGCATTTGGTGCATAGTGCTTGGAACTAGATTATTGGTGTTAGTTAGTTACGTTTGTGAAGGGGCCTGTTCATTGTAGGCGTGGTCGAATCAAAGCTGTGAGATACTTTTGCTTCTTGGAGTTTACATTGAACTAGAACTTGGAACCGGACAGATCTTCAGTAAGGCGTCTACATGATAATAGTCAAACAAGGTGTAATGCCTATAAGAACAACCCAAACGTCTGGTTATTCTCGCTTTTTCTTATTCCAAACCCCGTAATTTAACGAACAGTATCCAAGCCAAGTTTTTACCCAATAAAAACATACAAGTTACGTATAAGTTAACTCCTAGTACAAGAGCCCCTTCCCAAGGTAAACAAATTAGGGCTTGGAAACAACCACAGACATACTCCGTTCCCCCGGAGCCTCGGAGTGATACGGGGCCCCGGAGAATGGACTCGGTAGCATTAGACTAACTGTCACCCGTAGATCCATTCGGCTGTTGTCTGAGCGCGGGCAGAAAACACCAATTGTATTGGTACATCTTGCGCGATCGGTGGTTCGGTGATGGTGGCCTATCAGGTTGCGGATCTTGTTTAATCGAACTTATCAGAAGTATTCTCCGGAGATCTAGATATGTTCTGGTGGACTTGGCTTTAGGTTATTTCTACGAATTCATTCCATTGTACGTATTGAAGCCGGTATGCATTCAGCATAGAGAGGAGTATTCGAAGTCCACATGAATGTAATGCCAAAATGTCTAGTTTTGTAGTATTTGGTATCTGCTCGTGGCTCATGTACAGTATTCTTTTAGGTGCAACAATGATAAGGCTGAAAAGAAGATAAACAGAACAAAAAGAAAAACACATCTACCAGCCACGACCAGCCAGCTTATCAGCCTCGGGCATCTGCTTCACATTAATACCAACCATAGCCTCACCAAGACCCTGGCTAACCTCAGCCAAAACCTTAGGATCCTTGAAGTGAGTAACAGCCTGGACAATAGCACGGGCACGCTTCTTAGCATCACCAGACTTGAAGATACCAGAGCCAACAAAGACGCCATCACAGCCGAGCTGCATCATAAGCGCCGCATCGGCAGGAGTAGCAACACCGCCAGCAGCGAAGTTGACAACAGGCAGACGGCCCAGCTCAGCAGCCTGACGAACAAGCTCATAGGGAGCCTCGATCTCACGGGCGAAAGCGCGCAACTCGGGCTCGGCGTCCGCGCTGGCAAGGAGGATACCGCGGGCACGGCTGATCTGTGCGTTGACAGTGCGCATGTGCTTGACAGCCTCGACGACATCGCCAGTGCCAGCTTCACCCTTGGTGCGGATCATGGCGGCGCCCTCGGAGATACGGCGCAGGGCTTCACCCAGGTTGCGGCAGCCGCAGACGAAGGGGACCTTGTAGCCGTGCTTGGTGACGTGGTAGACATCGTCAGCGGGGGTGAGGACTTCGGACTCGTCGATGTAGTCGACGCCAATGGCCTCCAGGATCTGTAGTGAAGCAAGTGTTAGTCGCTGAACTTGAACTGGTTTCGTTTTTGCCTCCACCGCCACTCCAATTTTTTTTACCCCATTTGCCCCTCCCCCGCAAAACGTTGGTGATCGGATGATTTACATACCTGACATTCGACAAAGTGGCCAATGCGGGCCTTGGCCATGACGGGAATGGTGACGGCTTCCATGATCTCCTTGATCATGCCGGGGTCGGACATGCGAGCCACGCCGCCCTCAACGCGGATATCAGCGGGGACACGCTCGAGGGCCATGACAGCGGCGGCACCGGCCTCTTCGGCGATGCGAGCCTAGTAAATGAATCAGTTAGAGTCGTCGTTATGCGAAATGAGGTCAATCCTTCAGACATACCTGCTCGGCGTTCACGACGTCCATAATCACACCACCCTTCAGCATCTGAGCAAGGCCGGCCTTGACAGTGAAGTCATTGCCGGAGGTACCGTTTGTAGCAGCCATTGTGAAGTGTGTGAAAATAAAAAAAGGATATGGAAAAGAGAGGAATGAAAAGAAACAAAAGTGAGAGAGGATGGGGAAATAAGGGAATGAGTCAAAACGATCAGAAATACAGTTTACCCTCGCCTCAGGCCCACCGGAATGCCCCTCGAAGCTCCGAGGTCGTTTCCCGAGGAGATCCTGAATGGCCCCGCGGTGTACACTTGACCGCCTGCTGTCTATGGAAGGTTCCAAGCCTCTAACCTTGGGACTTGTAGCTTTTATTAGTCACCTTGGCAGTGAATGCCTGGGTAGTAATCTGGGAAAGTAGAGACCCGCATGAGCACTTTAGGGCATTTCTCGCATAGGAAACTTTAACTTGTCGATCCAGGCACAATACTAATAGGCAGGTCACTTTACTATTAACATAGACCTGCACTCTTAACATGTACCTATGCACGGAGTAAGTTAACGTTAACGTTAACGTTAACGTAGATGTTACATAGAAAGATAGAAGGCGCCCAGACCGGCCAAGAGTGACTAACCCAATGGGGTCTAACGCCTGTAGGGTGCCAACGGTCTCTATAGACGCGTTAACTGTATGTTGCACATAGACGCACGTATGTACTTGGCATTGATATTCAGCTCGAATAAGCATACGACCAGTGTATATAATACAAGATATAATCCAATAACATAAAGTAACCTTTAAAGTCCAAAAGCGTAACCCAACCCCAAGCTATGACATCACAGATCTGATCGACCCTCAAACAAGGGAGCTCCAACTCACATCTACATCTACACCTCCCAATAACCAACTTCAATCCCAGCTCCAATCCCTAATTAAACCCTAACCACAAAAATGTCCTTCAAACTATTCACCCACCAACCAAGCACCCTCCTCCGCCTAGGTCTAAGCCTAAGCATCGGCCTCAGCGCCGCAACCCTACACCCAACATCGCCCTTCCGCGCCGCCCCATTACAATGCCAATACGCAGCGCCCAGCACCGGCGAAGCCCTCTTCAATAAAGAGACCGGGTCCGGATGGGCGATTAACAACGGAGCATCTGAATCAATGGCGCAGAAACAGGGACAGAGTGCGCGGACGGGTCTTCTCACGGCGGAGGGAATGCGGCAGGTTAGTTTGGGGTGTGTTTTGGGGCTTGTGGCTGGTGTGGGGTTGAGGGCTTTTTCGAGGGCTTTGGTTGTTATTTTTGGTTTGGGGGTTGTTCTTGTTGAGGTATGTATAAGTTATGCTTTGTTTTGTTCGCGATGGTACATGGATGGTATATGCTAATACTCTTTTCTTTTCTCTGTTTAGTACGCTGCTTCCAAGGGCTACAATATCCTTCCCCTTCATCGGATGCAGAAGTATGTTAAGAACGTCGACTTGAAGCGGGCTATGAGTGAGAAGCGGCCGTTTAAGATAAGTTTCGGGGCTATGATGGCGCTTGCTGCTTTTGCGCAGTTCTGAGGGTTGCGCTTTGTTGGAAGCAAGCTACATGTACATACATCTAAACAGCTATCGTTCTCGGTAACCTACCAAGGATCGATCTGATCTACTACTATGACTTGTCCGACGCTCGAGAATTTGTAAACAGTTTATTCATACAGGGTATCATGAGTCTTGATCTATTCCACACCTACAGAGAACGAGAGGGGGAAATCTACCTACCCCAGCACCAGATCCTCTAACACGCCCTCCATCTCATCACGAGACAGAGGAACACCTAGGATCTCACCACCGCTAGCATCCATGCGCGAAGTGATCATCTGGTGATCGTGGAATTCCTTCAACAATGTACGGAACATCATCTCAGAAGAAGCGACAAACTCCTCCGTTGCCTTCTGGTAAAGCTGGCGGAATTCAATACCCGTTTCATCGGCCTTGCCGCCATCTGCTGGTGCTTCATCGTCGGACTGGTTGCCGTCGTCCATAACAGTGATCAGTTCTGTCAATAAGAGGCGGTATAGGTTGCGCGCATTCTCTGGAAGACTCTTCAGCACAAAACCTACACCTTCCTTGCCGCCGACGCGGCGACCCTTGCGGCCGAGGAGGGAGTGGACTTCTTCGACGACGTCTGCCTCCGCGGAGAAGGGGAGGAAGGTTGTGCAGTCATGGAAGACGAGGTTGAGCTGGTCGCGCAGACTGATATCCCACATCACTGGGAAATTGGGGGTATCCGCCGTGACCAGCAGGCGGATGCGCGGTGTAGCAGCCAGACGGGCGAGGAGGGCCTGGTTTGCAGCGCGGCGAAGAGGCGGGGCATCGATCGAGTTGATCAAAACTGTGACGGGCTCTTCATTCTCTCCGCGGGATTTGAGCACAGATTGCAGCAACTCCAGGACTTCTGTTGGCTGTGCACCAAGCTTGGACGGGACATCGTCACCCATCACAGCCGTAACGATCGTAGCGAAGACTGATCGGATAGAGATACCCGGCGTGTACCCATTGACGATAATAATAGATGGAGGCGCAGTGGTCGACAGGCTATGATTATATGTCCAATCGGCAAATTGCTCGACAAGCTTGCGCTTCGACCCATATCCAAATATACAGATATTGAACCCTTCATCGAACTCGAAGGCCCACTGCGGGAAAGACCGGTGGTGCAAAGAGAGCAGATACTCCTTCTCGTCCCTGCAGGGGTCCTCATACTGTCCCAGTTTCTCGAAATACTCCTCATGCGTCAACAGCGACACTTTGTTAAGGTTGGCATTCGACGTCTTGACAGGACCAGCACGGTTCTGGAAGAAATACCGCTCATGCGCAGGGAGTTCACCCTCCGGCGTTGGCGAACGCTTATTCCTCGCACCCTTGGGTCGTCCCGCACGGCGCTTGGGCTGTTTTGCACCCTTCTCTGCTGCCTCTTCATGATCAGCTTCAATGCTATCCGCCAATGGCGGAGCCGCCTTCTCTGTATCCGACTCGTCGCCCTGTAGGATTTCCTCTGCTAACTGCTCCGATCCATCCCAGGCTGCATCCTCGTCCTGTTCGAAAAGCACGCGCGCGCTCTTCTTCTTCGCTGACCGATCGGCGTTCTTGACTCGAGACGGAGTAGCCGCGGTTGCAGATTTGGGCTTGGTTGGTGTAGCGAATAGACCACGAGCCTTGGACTTATGGGTCGGGGTCTTGAGACCTGATTCTTTCAGCGGCGTTGCAGAGATCCCGTTGGCCTTTTTTGGTGTTGATTGGTCCCTTTGTGAGGGAGGCAGCTCGTAGGTGGCATCGCCGTTCGGGGGTGGATGCGTGGGCGCGTGGCCGTTCAGGGCGCCATTGGCTTGTTCTAGGGCTGTACGTCGTCTTTTGGGCGTTGACACTGCCGGCGTCTCGCCGGAATCTGAGAGCTTGCGCTTCATGGTGGACGGGTCAGGATCTAGTCGATTTGGACGCGAAGGGAAAGGAATCAACAATACCATCAGATCCGGAGAATGTGCACAGGGACGGGGACGCAAGGGATGGCCTGGCTGGGGGTGATAGCAGACGTTCTTTCGCTGAGCTTGCAGGGAGCTGCAGGTCTGACACTGGAATGTAGGGCTTAATTAGAAGTCGAGGAATGGTATCTGGTATCGGGAATATTGAAGAGAAGCGGATGGGTTTCTCCGACTCCGTCTCGCCAACTATACTAGGCGTACTGTACTCTGTACTCCATAAATAGGCTTGATTGTTTGCTAGTAGATTCAAATCTTTGGTAAAGCTGCATTTTGTGACTGTAAGACGCTTTATTGTATTGGGAGCGTTTTTGGCCCGAATAATCGCTCAATTCATCTAATGAAATACATAAAGCAGGAATTGCACTGAACTTCAGCTCTACTATAAGAATTGAACAATTCAACAACTCAACCGCCATCTCATAGTTAATTTACACAATATCTCGTCCCTTTCTCAAGGTGGGCTCCTCTCGCGCAGACAAAGCCGAGTCGGGAGCGCCGAGACCGGCTACTTTTTTTCCGCTCAGTGACTCAACCATCTTATCTCCTCCAGCTTATATAGTGGAGAGAGCCCAGTCTATGATCTAGGACTCATACACTGTCATGGTTCCAGCCACTCAGCCCACAATGGCATCCTTCGCCCGCATGGTCAAGGGCCAAGTGCGATGCTACTCCGCACCGCTGGACATGGCCATTCCGGCCTCCAAGCAGCGCTACATCCCTACTAGCGGCTCGTACCCCCAGGGCTTCCAGGTATCTGGCACCCATGTGGGTGTCAAGGCCTCCAACACCCGCTTCCCGGATCTGGCCCTGATTGCCTCGGACACGCCGTGCTCGGCCGCCGCAGTGTTCACCACCAACAAGTTCCAAGCTGCGCCAGTGCAGGTCAGCAAGAAGACACTACAGAGCCGCAAGGGTGAGGGCATCCGGGCTGTTGTCATCAACTCCGGATGTGCCAATGCCGTGACTGGCAAGGGTGGACTGGAAGATGCAGTGCAGATGGGCCGAAAGGTCGATGAGTGCAACGGCGTCGAGAATGATAGCTCGCTAGTCATGAGTACCGGTGTCATTGGACAACGGTAAGTCTACTACAACCTAACAGATACGAAAAAGCCAACAAGCAAAGCACACCCGGCACTAACAACCCCATAGTCTCCCAATTACCAAGATCCTCGACCGCATCCCAACAGCCCACTCAGCCCTCGCCTCAACCCACGAAGCCTGGCTCACGACAGCCCGCGCAATTTGCACAACAGACACCTTCCCCAAGCTCCTCTCGCGGACCTTCACCCTCCCCTCCTCGCCAAACCTCACCTACCGCCTGGCCGGCATGACCAAAGGCGCCGGCATGATCCACCCGAACATGGCCACCCTCCTCGGCGTCGTCTGCACAGACGCCCCAGTTGAAGCCGCGGCCCTCCAACCCCTTCTTAAGCACGCCGTCTCCCGCTCCTTCAACTCAATCTCTATCGACGGCGACACAAGCACAAACGACACAATCGCCGTGCTGGCCAATGGCGCCGCAGGCGGCGAGACCGTCCGCGCCCCTACTTCCACTTCATCCCCCAGCGCAGACTACACAGCCCTGCAAAGTGTCCTGACAGATTTCGCGCAGGAATTGTCGCAGCTAGTCGTCCGCGACGGCGAAGGTGCAACGAAGTTCGTCACCGTGCGCGTTACCAACTCACCTGACTACGAGTCCGCGCGCCAGATTGCGTCGACGATTGCGCGCTCGCCGCTTGTCAAGACTGCCCTGTATGGACGGGATGCGAACTGGGGCCGGATTCTGTGTGCGGTTGGTTATACGCAGGGTGTTGCTGAGGGGACTATTGTGCCCGAGCGGACGTCTGTTAGTTTCCGGCCTGTGGATGGGAGTGCTGTGTTGAAGCTTCTTGTTAATGGGGAGCCCGAGTCTGTTGACGAGGAGCGGGCTAGTGTTATTTTGCAGAATGAGGATCTGGAGATTGTTGTTGATCTCGGTGGTGGTGAGAAGGGGGATGCTGGGTGTGGTGGGGAGGATGCTGTTTACTGGTTCTGTGATTTCAGTCATGAGTATGTTACCATTAATGGTGATTACCGGACTTGAGAGAAGGGTGTGGATTGATATTGTTAAAATTATATACATAAAGGAATTGATTTCGGGTTAAACAGTAATATCGGAATCGTTTATCTGGACTAGAATACTGTTGATCGAGAAGTATATGTTCAAGGAAACAGATCATGGCAATTGAATATATGGTTTTGGTTTTCTAGAAGATATGGTTACAGGGCTCAAGTAGAGCACATTTCCTTGGCCATTGTCTGCTATGATCAGACGGACATGGCTCCAATCCAGCCGCAACAGGCAATGCCAATACATTCACCCAAAAAGTATAACAAATAACGAACAAAAGTGACAAAAACTAAACAGAGAGTTGCAAAGGAACAATGGAATGATCCCAAGTCATGCTGCTCGTAAAAGGACGGGCAGTCCGTCTAGCTGCCGGGGACGAGGCCCTTGAGGCCAGCGCCAATGTCACCCTCGCGGGCGGCAATTTCAAAGTAGCCGTAGATGATACTGTGTCAATGTTAGCTGGAGTCAATTCAAATGGAAGAAAAGGTAACTTACGTGACGGCAAGAAGGATACCAGTACCACTGCCCAAGGCACCGAGGAGGTCAGAGGCGACGGACAGACCACCAATGCAGGCACCACCGAAGGCAGCGGCAGTGGGGATAACACGCTTGAGCTCCTTGTACATGCTCTGCTCACGGTGACCAGACATGACGAGACCTTGGTCCTTGAGCTGCTTGGCAACGTCACGGGGAGCGGAGCCGGAAACCTCAATCCAGGTCTTGGAGAAGAGAGCGCAGGCAACGAGCATGAAGGTGATGTAGACAGCGGTGTGAATGGGGTCGAGGAGAGCCTCCTTGAAGTTCAGAGGGGGAGACATGTAGTAGGCGATACCGGAGGCAGCGTAGAGCTGGGCGGATCCCTCACGGGGCTCCCACACTCCGAGGAGCTTGACAAGGATGTTGTCGGAGAAGCGGGAGTACAGCATCTGACTGATCAGGAAAATGTTGGAGCACAGAGCGGACTGCAGCATGATGGGCATGTTGGAGGTGTAGAAGAGCCGGACGGGGTAAGAACCGCGCATGCCACGCTGGCGGGAAGACTTGACAGGAATCTCAACACGGAAGCCCTGCAGGTAGATGACAGCGGCGAAGACGAGGAGAGTGGCCAAGAGGTTCATGACGTTGGGCAGGTTCTGGCGGTAGAATGCCTCGTACAGGGCACGCTGCTTGTCGGGCCAGGTCAGGAGAAGGTGGAAGAGAGCGATGATGGCACCCTCGAACTCGGGGCCACGGCCGGTGTTGATGGTCGTGGGGGAGAAGGCCTTCCAGACAATAGACTCGCAAATGTTGGTAGCAATGAACAGGGAGATACCGCTACCCAGACCGTAGCCCTTCTGGAGGAGCTCATCCAGCAGAATGACAACCAGACCAGCAACAACAAGCTGAACAATCAGGAGAACACAGATACCGGCACCAAGGTCGCTGGGCTGGCCGTAGAGACCAGTCAGGACGTAAACGCAAGCCTGGCCGAAGGAGAGGATGATAGCAAACAGCTTCTGGGCGGTCTGGTAGAGCTCGCGGTCGGTCTTGAGGTCAAGGTTGACGTCGATGAGGTGGGTACCGGCAAGGAGCTAGAAAAACAGCCGTCAGTACAATTGTCGCATAAAATTAAGTGCCGTGGTGTCGCATACCTGGAAGACCATGCCAGAGGAGATGATGGGGGTGATACCCAACTCCATCAGAGTACCACGGTTACTGGCCAGCATCATACGGAGCCAGTACAGGGGGTCCGAAGTGTCGGAGGAGACAATGCCGTAAAGAGGCATCTGACTCATGACCAGGAAGATCATCAGGGTCAACTGTAACAGACTGATTAGAATCCAAATGTTGCGCTGTAGCAGATTCGAGGCGACGTACACCAGTCCACATCAACTTCTGGTTGAAGGGCACCTTGGTCTCAGGAGCTGCCACCTCCGGGAGGAGGGGCGTAAAGGGCTTGATCAAGTCAAGGAAGCGTACTATAATCCTCCATCAGTATTCGATGATCCATTGAGTCGATTCGAGACGGATTGCCGCGATCGCGTGCAAGACGATGGTTTGGGGACTCACGGCCGCTCATGGTGGCTAACGTCCTCCCAATCCGTCAAAGAGAAATAGAGAAAGCTGGAGTCGAAAACCAGCTGAAGGAGTGTCTTGACAATTAAGAGGAATAAAGAAAAAGAAAAGGGGAAGGGAAGAGGTCGAAGGGGAGATGGGGGGAGGAGGGAAGAAGAGGACAGAAGAGGTTCGCTGGCCACTTTTCGCTTCCGCGCTAATTAAGGCCACTTGGTCTTCGCCGCAACCACCTTGACAGTGACTCAACCCAGTACATTGCAACTCGAATATGAGATCTAGTTGGCTAAATGTGTTCTATTTAATTATCCGGAGCTTTTAGTCCTGTCACGAATCAAGCCCGATGTGTTGTGCGCCCCCCCAAAAAAGGGAGCTATCCCCACATTTTAGAGGCCACGATACTATGAACAGTTCAGGGTCTACGGGGTATCCAAATATACCGAATGCGTGGAAGTTCTCTATTGTACTCATATACTCGGATCCAAGCTCCAATCATGTCAAACTCCATGTAAATCCATGTTGCGTCCGGACGCCTGGTCTCGTAAGATCAACACATTGCATAAAGATTGTGGGAAATCCAGCTTCAAGGGCCAACAAGACCCAAACAGTCATCAATGACCACCTCGAGCTCGCCTAGACGCGTCTTAAGACCCCGGTTCTCGTCTTTCAAAACACCCATAACGCTCCAAGCCTCCGAGGCTGGTACACCGTAGCAATTGGTGCAATTTGGAGAGTTACCACCGAAAGAGCTACCTAAACGCGTTGAAGCAAGTCCCTTCAAAACGCGGTCGTACGCCGAGGAACGAGCAGGTGGTGGTGCATTAGTGACCGCGACCAGGTTCTTCTGGATAGTGGGGGTGGGCGTTGGGGCAGTCGGCGTGGACAAGGCGATCTGAGACATATTGGGGGATGGCGCTGTGAGGGTGGAGGTTGGAGACTCAACACCCTCACGCTGCGAGAAGACGCTATCGGCAACGCTCTCGTCGCCAGACTCGAATCCAGAGTCGCTGGTGAACGTACTATGACTAGCACGCTTGCCACCGCGGCGGGGAGTCTGGAGAGCCATGGAGGGGACGTCGTCATCTTCGTGTACCGCGCGCATAGTGCGACTGCGACTTCGAGATTCCTCTCTCTTCCGTAGATTCCTCTCTTGCTCCAGCTCGTCGGCCATGGCCTGCATAGCTTTCTCCTGGTCGAGCACCTTGGCCGCCATGCCGTCGAGCTGGATCTTTAGATGATCGACTCTAGCGCGAGTCTCTTCCAGCTCCTCTTGCTTTTCGTTCTTATCGGCCAGTGCCTGGTGCATGGCGAATGTGCGTTGCTTGTAGGCCTCTTGCATTCGTCGAAGCACCTGGTCGGCGTGATCTCTTAAGGTATCCAGTGCCTCGTTGTCGGTAGTATCCGAGTTGGGTAATGTTAGGGCCGCGGTAATGTCCAGGTTGAGGAACTCGTCGTCCGCCGGTTCCGGGAAACTAGGTTTGTTCTCTTGTCGCCGTAAGCCGAAAAAGGAGAACCGACTTGTTACCGGGGCCGAGTTCTTTCGTGTATGTGACGTGAATGTTGAAGCCGGACGGCTATCTAGCCCTGGGCCATCTGAATCACCGTTGGTGCCCATTTTAAGTCCCAAATCCACTGGATCTGACTTGCCCTGGAACCAGTCTGACAGGACCCTGGCTCTTGCTTCGAGGTTCTTCTTGGGAAAGGTGTCGTTCCAAGGGGTATTTCTCGGGCGGTCTGATATCGTGTGTTCCAGTCCCTCTTCAAAGAGTGGGGGTTGTGCAATGTATTCAGTGTTTGCCCGACGGTGTAGAGGCAGAGTGCGCGTGTTGTTCCGTGAGATTAAAGGAGCTGTCGATCTTGGGGGCGACGAGGTAATGGTCTCGTGCTTCGCGCCATCGGAATGTAGGGTGACAGGTGCGTGAGAGAGATCGGGGGGCGTGGTCTGAGGGGGAATCATGACAGCACAAGCAGGTAAAATGGAAATACCTGGTCAACTCAGCCCAATGTGGCGCTGGAGTGCAGCGTCTAGACTTAGGGGCTTGTAGGGACACGTTCAAGACTCGGTGAGTAGTAGTAGAGACGAAACAACCCCTGAATATACTCAAAGTCAAACGAAGGATGGAGTATCGAGGATGTGACAATGTTTCACGTCAAGTTTAATCTTCTCTATGTTTTTGAGATTTGACGTGCAGGAAAACAGAGAGGCTGGGGCAACGAAATAGCGGTGGCTGAACAGCTCTCTCCACCTCCACGATCCACCAACTCTTCCTGTGCGATCTGATTGCCAAATAATAACGACTTCTCGCCACGCCACATAGTGTTGATTGTTGTCGTCAGTTCTATTTACGTCCCGTGTATGGTGTAGGATCTGCGTCACTGCACGTTCTCTGCACTTCGTCATGGCTCCCACCAATCCTGGGTTGAAGCACCTGTCCAACGCTCTAGCAACCCCCGATCAGCTATCAAACTCCTCGTCCTCGATCGATGGTGTCCCGGCTGATCTTGAAACCTCGATCCGCTGTGCAGGTGCCCAGCTCACCCAAACCGCTGGCATTCTCCTGCACTTGTCGCAAGATATCATTTCCCAGGCCATTGTGATCTTCACGCGTTTTTGGCTCGGAGCTGACGGCGGTAGCTTGCGAATTTACTCAGTTAAGGTAACATAGCCCCAATTATCCTCAATTCTCTGTCCTTGTGTCCACTAACCGGAGTAGGATGTTTCCGCTGCAGCTCTCTACCTAGCGGCCAAGCTTTCCTTCCTACCCACCTCCCCGCGCTCCGTGCTCAATGTCTACACCTTCCTTCTATCACGGGATGCCTCGCCCTTGTGGTTTGTGAAACCAGACGGTGCACCCAAGGCCCCTCCAGCTCCTGAAACCTACATCCTGACGGAAGGCGGGTACCAATCCGCCCGACTGGTGCTTCTTCGCATTGAGTCCGTCATCCTCCGCACCCTGGGCTTCGATACACATGTCGCCCTACCGCACACCATTGCATTGACATATCTACAAACTCTGGGTGTGGCAAAACCCGCTGTTGCTCAACGTGTCATCCAGCATCTCAACGCCGCACTACTCTCACCTCAGTTGCTATATGTCACACATCAACCCAATGCCCTAGCCGTCGCTGCCATCTACCTTGCTTCGCGCGAAGTGGGAGTCAAGCTCGTTGATGGTGACTGGTGGGAAGTCTTCGATGTTGATCGTGAGGAGCTTGGTTTCTTGGTCGTGGGTATGCAAAGTACCGAAGGGTTTATGCGGGCCGAGGCTAGTCAATGGAAGGATAAAACCATTCCTATGGTTCCGGATGAGGTCGAAGCTGAGATTGAACGACGCCGAATGATGCAGGAAGGCGAGTGAGCTGAGGATTGAATTATGTTGGAAATCCTAGATCATAGGCAGAAGGTGACGTTGGATGGGAAGCTCTTGTGGAAGCCATGAGCTACCAACTCATATATCAGATGGTATAGGGAGCTCTAGCACCTCAAAAGCCCCGTCAGACAGACTCTCTTCCTGTGAGATCACGGTCACTCCCAGAAGAAATTCTTGCTGTGAACCGCCTCACACCCACAACGTCCTAACCATTTATGAGAGGCATGTTGATACCCTGGCCGAAGATTCAGTTGTTCAAGTAAAACACTGGTTGGCTGATGGGTCAAGTATTGGCTTTAAGAGCTGGCGTCCTACCCTTCGACACCTGTTCCTCATCGATGGGACATTTGAGTACTTTGGGCACTAACTTGACTTGAGGATGCACTATGACCTGCTCGCCACGACGTCTTTCTCGATACATAGCTATCTACAATCATTCAGACAAACACCAGCAATTTATGTCCATGGCAGTCTTATGTCAATTAGTCCATTGACTACGCTGTGATTAAGAGAAGTAGAAATTGCTATTAGTATAAGATAAGAGATTGTACCAAGCACTATCTCACCCCAAGGCTAGTGATGTGGGTACTAGCAACGAAGACAAGTAACCTAGTTTTATATCCCCCATGCTTGTGTATGTTCCTATAGCTAGGACTAAGGTTGTTGTCTGAGTCGCCCTCGTCATTGAGAAAAGCGAGAGGCATAGAGAAATCAAATGCAATAGTAATTCTAAAGTGAAAATATACGAACAGATTGCTAGGTCGTTTGCCTTTCAAGCTATAACTTAGTCATATGCCATAGTTAAGTCCTTTCACACCACCAACTTTATACAATTTACATGATGAACCCGAGGCACTCGAAAGTGGACAAAAAAGAGGTGAAAAAGAGAGATCAAAGTAGGGCGAAAACAATGCATGAAGCATACTCGCTTCGAGGCTTTTGTGAACTGCCCAAGACTTCATCAGTGGCACGGTAGACACATTTATGACCCCTATTGTATGTCCTGAAATGCCTTGTGATTCAAGATTAGATACAGATGTGTTCACGAGATCATGATGCCAGATAACATTCTCAGTAACATATCAAATGTTCACCGAACTATATATATATAATCTTTACTCTATAGATCAAACATCTGAAAGTAAGAAATTCCCAAAGTGAGTGAGATAGATATAACCAGAGGCACCACCTTCGGGACTTTCAAACTTGCCTACTATAGCCTTCAATCATGTCATAGATAAAGAATGTATGTCACATATGAACCTCTAAAGTTGTCGGAATGACGACGCTCACGCGGGGCGGATCATGTGCTCCACCGCTTATCATTTCCCCCCCGCCATCTCCCATCCAGATCTTCACCACTTCACATATTCCAAAACCATGAATATCCTACACTCAACACTATCAACCTGGCGGGACCGCCTGGCGCCAGTATCACGAACTTCGACTTTCCGAAACACCGGCCAAATCACCCCCGAGGAGTTCGTTCTCGCGGGCGACTACCTAGTCTACAAGTTCCCCACATGGTCCTGGGGGGACGCATCAAGTCCAGCAAAGCGAGTCTCCTATCTACCAGCTGGCAAGCAGTTTCTCGTGACCCGCGGCGTGCCCTGTCACCGACGACTGAACGATAACTTCGCCGGCGACGCGGGGCTTGAAGATGAGATCGTGAGGGATTTCTTATCTGGCGGTGACGGCGGCGAAAATGCTGTGGACGGGGAGGATGGCTGGTTGCGCACTGGAGGGGGTCGCGACACTGCTGCCGACCAGGATAAGCAGGAAGCTAGGATCCGGGATGTGCGGACGGTCGATGAATCTGGGAATCTGGGGGAGCAGGAGGATGATGATGAGATTCCGGATATGGAAGACGACGACGATGACGAGGAGGCTATTATTCGAGAGCCGGCTGGCCAGGCTGGGACTACGCAGTGAGTATCTATCTATTCATTTACTGTCGCGATTATTCTGACCTTTTAGTAGACCTCTCCGCACTTACACACTCTATATCACATACTCTAACTTCTACCGCACACCCCGCCTATACCTATCTGGGTATCTGTCCCCGTCAGAACCACTTCCACCGCATTTAATGATGGAAGATATCGTCGGTGACTACAAGGACAAGACGGTAACGCTAGAGGACTTCCCCTGGTTCGAAGGAAGTGTCAAGATGGCCAGTGTGCACCCCTGCCGCCACGCCTCCGTGATGAAGACGCTCCTTGACCGCGCCGACGCAGCACTCAAGCTGCGCCGCGAGAAGATCAAGCAGACCCAGTCACGCGAGGAAGCGAACCGGGTTCTACGAGCTGGCGGGAACAGCGGGTTGGAAGGCCTAGTAGATGAGACGCAGGGCCTATCGCTCGGTGAACACCAGGCACAGCCCGGCGGGGATGAGTGGGAGATGCTCCAGCACGATGAGGACGAGCAAGTTGCCATTCGGGTGGATCAGTACTTGGTTGTTTTCCTCAAGTTTGTTGCGAGCGTGACGCCGGGCATTGAACATGATTTCACAATGGGGGTATGAGACCTTGAGTCTAGTCAAGAGGACTTGGTTTTGATCCGGACCTTGCTTCCAGGCAACTGTATTCCGAGCTAGATTGGATGCAACTGCCTGGACTTGGACATGGATTCGGACCCGGTGACTGGCTTGTTTCATTTCCGAGATACGATATGCATGACATGAAATGAGTTTTGGCGTTGATCTACTTCTGGGAACATTAACAATTACCTTTTGTTCTATTTTCCTTGTATTTGGATTGCTTTTCTTACGTATCATCTCCGGTGAGATGCGCAATGTCCCATTCCAAAGCTTGCAGTCTGTTCTCTATCAAAGTTTCTAGAAGATGTAGACACATCATATTGCGAGATCACCGCTGTAAGTAACCCCTGGCGTCGACCCCGAGATTTGGCGCTCAGGCACGGGAGATCATTGGGTCCTCAAAAGTTTAGACTTGACAGGGATGGAACCAGTCTAGTGTATGCGCTGCATACAGTTTCCTATATGGTTTGTTCTGAACCATTATTTTTAAACTTCATTCTATTGCACTACTGAAAGTCTACTGCTATCAATACTACAGGAGGGACCAGATATTATATCAAGAGTAATATATTCGAACTCAGTAAAAACAAGACAAAACAGCACCAGCAGAAACCAAAAAAGTAATCTTAACAAAGGAACTCCGTATAGTGCGAACGCACGCCTGAGCGCCAGATATGAATAAACTGCATAGCTTACGCACAAATAAACAGATAATAAAAAGATAGGAAAAGTTCCAAATAATAGGTGAGTAGTTAGTAGGTAGTAAGTAAAAGATCAGCTCTCGTATAAACGAGCACAGAAGATACAGGTAAATCTGAGGGTGAGTACACCAGCCGGGAGGTACAAAGCATTATAAGGATTTTGGAACAATCCACAAAAAGTAAACAGGAAGAGAAGAAAAGAACAAAAGGTACAAAATGTTTGCGATCAATCATCAAAGAGATCAATCATGAAAAAAGCATGCACAAGATAAACCCCAGTCCCTGTCGCTGACATGGAAAACTGTCGGGGCGTACCGGCGTCATTCCCGTATTATATCGTCTTCATCTTCGTCTTGGGTAGCGTGGCTGCATTCCTATAGACTGGCAATGCTTCTAGTAGAAGAAAGCCATGACGAGAGGAAGAGCCACTGCCAAGATGGAAGATCCCGGTGCCATGGAGGAGGCACCGTTGAAGATGGGCATAACGGAAGGCGCGGGAGAAGCAGATGGGGCAGGGCGGGGGATCAGCGGGGTGGAGTGCTGAACGACAGGAACGGCGGGAGACCAGACAGCTGCGGGGGTGGTGGTTGGGATGAAGATTGGTGTGGTGAAGGTGGGAGGGAGGTAGGCCGGAGCTGGGATGACGGTTGGAGCAGTGGGAGCAGGAGCGGGAGCCATGACAGGGACGACCGGGGCGGGAGCAGGAGGCTCGGGGCAGGGGTAACCGTCGTGGTGGCTGTGTTCGCCGTTGCCGAGCTTGACGGAGGGACCGCCGGGAATACCGACGTCGACACCTGCTCCGGCGTGGTGGTCATCGCCAGAGCCTGGGCCGCAGGGGCCGCGGTGGCTATCCTTGTAACCGACACCGGCGTTCACGTAGGGTCCGCCAGGGATGGCAACGTGGACACCGCTGCCGGCTTCGGAGTCGCTGTTGCCAGGACCTTTGTCGGTGGGAGCAGCGGGGTGGTTGAACAAATCAGGAACTGGGAGGCCCGGGATCTGAGGAGCAGAGAGGACGGTAGATGGGGCCAGAGCCAGGACGAGGCACATGAGGCTAGAGAAGTTGATAGTGGAGGAGACCATTGTTGCGGTTGTGTTGGTTGGTTGGCTTGATAAAGAATGTGGTTATAGAGAGAGTTCTCGATGGAATGAATCCGAAGATTAAAAGATTGAAAGTTGAAGAGAGAGAGTTGAAAGAGTGATTGGAATGAAGAGACAGAAGAACGAATGACTGTCGAGACTCTGATTGTTTGGATGAGGATGAGGAATAGCAAGATGAGGCGTGAAGTATGGTCCTTATGTAGTTTTTCGACACCCATGCAAATCCTATACTGAGGGGCATCGTGGGGAGAGTCAAGGGCTAAACAGGAACAGATAGGAGCAGATAGGGAGATTTCTGCAAGGTACGAACTATAGTCATTTGGTGGCACTCCTAAAAAAAGCCACAAGGGCCGTGATCAGCAAGGCACCAAAGGGCAACGGCAGTTACCGAAGAAAGGAACCATGAGAGACATCAAATCTAGGCCCAGGGAGGAAGAAATTAGGGCAAATAGGCAAGCTGATTTGTTGAAAGGGAGGTGTAGCTTTGTCGAGAGCCAAGGCAAACCCTAAGCGACGAGCGTGAAGCTTATGCATGACCTCGAGTCCGAGCTCGAGCATCCGAGCTTTACCTCAGCTAGGAGAGGATTTGCAAGATTTTCGCTGTCGAATAGCGTGGGCAGTATGGGGAGCAGCAAAAACACGTGGAGCCGAATAGAGAAAGGTTGCAGAGTTACTGCAAGGGGTCCCCGGAGTGAGGCACACTAGCAAAGACACCAAGATCCCCTCCACAGGAGTAATTTGGAAGGGGCCAATCAGAACATTGGATTCGAGTCAATTGTATACATATCACACGCAAGGAACTCCAATATCAACCCAGGGGAATCCAAATGCAACTTGCTAGGGCCATGGATGCCTGTCAAAGTAAGACCTCATGAGGTAGCCCTGGAAACGAGAACAAAATTGGAAGAAATCAGAAACATGTATTGCACATGTCGGCATAGATCATTGATCATTATCTCATGAGATGTCTCCAAAAGAAGAAAAGAAATTGGTAACAAGATGAAGTGGACATGCACGTATGCACCAAGATGACAAGAAATGAAACCATGCACAAAAGATCCACAGGAACAGGAAGATAGATCACAAAACAATCAAAGCACAGACGGTGGGGAAATTGCTCTCAGATTTGACCGACATTCGACATTCCAAATGCTGTACCAAAGTTGGTAGATTTCTTGAACTTGAATTCAGGCTCGTTTTCGTTTTGGTTGGGCAATTCAGGGTCGGTCTCGTTAGGATCAGCCGATTCACCCGAGTTGCCTAGGATATTCTTCGCCTGATCAAGGAGTTTCCGATCTAATTCATTCAGGAAACTGGAGTCATGTTCTTCCTCATTAGTGAGACCGAGGGGCCCCTTGAGAGCGGGATCGTCTGGTACATCCGGAAAGTAGGACATCTTGTTCTCAGCAGGTTGCTGGACATTGGTTGCCACGGGCGCGACAGGATCTTCCTCGTTCTCCAAGGGAACCTCGAGGGGAGACCCTTCCTTTGTGGATTGTCGGCTTTCATCTACCTCGATGATCGCCATCGGAGTGTGACCTGCATCGCGGAGTAAATTCTCATTGGGCCGGCCGAGTTCTGACAGCTTCAGTTTGAGACTGTTTCGATGTTCCATGCCGGGCCTTACAGCCGTTGAAGGGGCGGTTCCAGGGGAGGTTACCAGGGGTGACGGCGAGGGCGGGGTGATCACTCGAGCGACGACCTCAGGTGGCAACGCGGTAGACTTGAGCGTAATGCCATCCAACGTGCTGTCAAGCTTCTCGATCGGCACGGGCAGCCTCGGTACGTCAACCTGCGATTGGGCTGAAAGGGCCCGATCAAGGGACGGCGGATTCATCCCATTCCCTTCGGAGATCGGCAACAGGTGACTTTGGTCTGGGGAGTGATCGTGGAATACTCTTGTTGGCCGACTACCTGGACTTGACCCCTCCCACACTTGTGCTGTGAAGTTGTTGCCATTCAACTGCGATACGCCCAACACTAGCCTGGCAGCATCCGGTCCCAATTCATTTGTTTTGTGTCCTTGGCTCCTGAGTGATGACTCCAACTCGGCGATTTTCGATCGTAACAGCTCCCGTTCCTTATCCCACAACCGTCTTTCCTGCGCAAACAGTGATCTTTCACTCTCGAAGTGTACTCGTTGACTCTGGAGGAGCGCCCGCGATTGGTCGATGTAGGCTGTCTCCATGGCGAACGGAGTCCCTTGGACAGACCGGGCGGCTTGACCGTTGAGTGTAGGAATAGTGGCCGAAACCGATTTTGTGCGACGAATAGGGGTTTGTGTCGGAGAGAAGCGCACTTCTTTGTAGAGATATCCGTGGCCGTCTGGTAACTTAGTCGACTTCATGGCGGCGAGATTGTTTTTCCGAGGGAAGTGCGATAAGGCGGTATATCATATATTGGGGGGTGGATATCGGTGGATATCGGCCACCTCAGAGCTTCGTTGTCCAGTCCGGTCCTGAAAGAAGCGGTCAATCACGATGATTCGGTTTGCAGCTAACACGGGCCGAGTTCATTTGAGGTTTGCATGTGAAAGTTCGTTGGGCAGGCTTGGGTACTGACCTTAGGTAGCTAGCTTAGGTAGCTTAGGTAACCCAGGTAACTCAGGTAGTGTACTTGAAGAGTGAAGAGACAGCGGCATAGAGATTTAAGTATGGGGAAATCACCCCCACACGGGGAAAAGGGGAGAGGTTGCAACAGGAACTCCCGTGAACAGAGGCTATGACGTCAAAATTATCTATACCTCCACATTCAAGGCAACTTAAAATCCGCCAATATTCCAGAAATATTAACCAATCTATATTACATGGCTATAACTAAGCAAAAGATCCCCTTTAAACATCAAACACCTAAACACATAATCGCAAGTTGCGCCAGAGATGCCCCCAATGATATATGCACTTCTCAGTGGACGTCATGGTGCATAACTAGCACCTCTCAAACCACGAGACTACCCACCAAAAAGAAAAGCAAAAAAGCAGGCTATGTAAAACACCCAAGCGCAGAAGATGCAGACAAAAAGGCAGAAAGACCATGATCAGAACACTGATGACGTGGACCAGTGATTTGGCAAAGACTTCGAGAAATCCGAAGTAAACGGATACTTCTTCGAAAGCGAACAATAAGCAGGCGACCTCGGCGGCGATCGACTCCTCCAAACAAACTGCTGAGCTTCTTCCAAAAGACGCTGGTCACCATTCGGTAACGGAAAGAAACTAATATCCCGGCAGCACCCAAACCGCATAGCAAGATCCAACACTCCCCTCGCCGTGAGATCCCTCCCACCAACATTAGCAGAGGGATAATAAAAACGCGGATCAAGATAAAACAACACACTCCGCCAATCGGGCAACTTCTCCGAAAGAAGCCTGGCAGCAAGCTCATACTGCTTGATGGTACGCTTCGGCACGCCCGTCTGCGTATGAACGAAGAAGAAGACCTCAAAGCCAACGCTGCGAATGCGCGAGCGCGCCGTTGCGCTAAGCGTGCCGAGGAAATCGCCCAGCCGATCTAGGTTGAATGAGTTGCGGAAGAACAGCGTGTGCTGTGAGTACAGGTAGTCCTCGGCTTCGTCGTGGATTTGGTGGTTGACGGCGAGGAGCTTGCGTGCTGTGCCGTCTTCGCCAACCCAGCTTGGACTCATTGCTAGGGCTCTGTATTGGCCGCGGGCTGTGAAGACTTTGCCACGGTCGTCGACCACTATCAATGGCTTGTTCATGTACTCGTTTGGTACTGCCAAGGCATATTCGTAGATTTTGAGACGGAGCTCTGCTGGTAGTCGGAGGAGATGTGGTGTCAATGATGACGGATTGGATATTTTGAAGGATCCCATCTCTCCAGAAATTACTGTGATTGTAGTACAGAGAGTGGAAATATCGAATTCGTTGATTGTCGCTGGCGATGTTCCGAAAATCGGTGGTACGGCTCGGGAGTATATGTAGATATTTGTCGCCACCGTCAGAGTTTTTTTTACAGACACGAAAAAGAGAACTTTCAGGTACCGAGAAAGGTTCAGTTAGAGACCAATGCTTTATCCCTGAATAGATCGATAGATCAAACTTAAAGTAAGGTCGTTCTAGAAAGGGGTTATAAAGCTTTCAGGGTGTCGGACGATCAATAGAAGCCCAACATGCAAGCATCAGACAATGCCACCGGGCAGATTACGGCATTTATACGTAAACCTCTGATCGGCATCTACATGGCCGCTCACTGAATAAATCAGCTCACTTTTCGCCGAGGCGGAATTACGTCTGAGTGAAAGTTCTTCGGCCAATTCGACCGTAAAGTCGGCATTTGGTCTCCACCAATCGCCCGACTACCCGCAAGGAACCCGTGTACCCACAGTGATGTTATATGGAAGGATTTTCGAAGATCCTCAGAACCTACATAGACTGATTGGATCGGTGGAACGAGGGTAAAGACTCCACTCCGGCTTGCCACTTTCTTTACTTGCATGACTTGAGATAGGCATGCCGCAGATATACTTCTCGAGTCTCAGGTAAGGATATCTCAAGGGCTCATCATTTGTGACTCATATGGTCATCCTGCCCTAAAAGAGAGAAATCAAGACCAATAGGTAGTTATGCTTGTGCACCAATTCCTATACTTGTAGTTGCACTGCAGTATGGGGCTACACGGCGCCTTTTAACTACACGTTGGTGTACACGATCAGAGACTCAAGGAGAGTCTGATAATCCACTGTACTCTGTAGCATGAAATCCCTTGTGGGTCCACAAGGGTGGAGAGTTCGTTCACACGTGGATTACCCACTATGAGATTGTTTAGCGGCACACGGAGCCACCGCATCTTCACATCCAATTCGATGAGCTTGTATACATTTTGGCTTTGTTTCAGAACTCGATATCAAAGACTACTTAATCTAACGCTATGTTCCAATAGTAGTTCTGCGTTACAAACAGCATCAAAATAACTAGGAAAAAAAACTTGAAGATAAAGCGTATCAAATACTTCGCCATATACCTCCAAAGTACTGTAAAGTAGATCCAAGCTGTTTGCAGAACTCCAACTTCCTCAGCGATAAAGGATTGACGCAATATATGTACATACAGTGCTACCCCCGCATGCAGAATGGGGTGCACAACATCGTCGGCTTCCCCTTTTTGGCTACATGCTTGATACATGCTGTGCGCAAAATCTATGCAGATATCCGACCCTAATGACGACACAGATAGGACAAGTACATCATGTCCAACCTGATAATGCAGAAGATTGCATTCCAATATACAAATAGGCGTCTATGTTGGAGCCTATTGGGCAAGTTATACATCATTGAGGTGACATGTCCTCCAAGTGCGCTGGCCTGATCGCTAGGAATCAGAGATATCACATAGCGAGCAGCACGACAAATCTTAGATAGGGTGAGCTGGACATGTCATACCTCACACTTGTTGCGCAGCTGTACTTGTCGACAATCTCCAACTACGCCACACCCGTTCAAGAAAAAGACTCAACTCTGCAAAAGTCCAAGATGCAATATATTCTCTTTAAACGCCAATGGAAAGACATATCATAGCCAGAACATCCGAGTCCCGACCTTCATCGCTGTCTATACACACCAAGAGACCAAGCCGCCCGCAGGACAGCCAGACCCCAGGCCATGCCAATGCTATCTCTAAGAACATTCAACTTGCTCCCCTTCACTTCCCTCCAACCCACAGGAACCTCAGCCACGGGGATCCGGGCAAACTCAGCCAACATGAGCATCTCAACATCGAAGATCCAGCCTTCGGAGTGCATGTATGGCACGATATAGGGTAATGCAGGACGCGAAAAAAGCTTGAACCCGCACTGCGTATCCTTAACCGTAGCAGTCTTAGGAGGCGTCATCAACCGAAGGATCAAGTGGAAGGAATGCATAAGGAAGTTGCGTAGTTTAGATCGCTGCAAATAAACCATTAGTACCATACCAGGATCATACCGACAAGGATGCGACAATCGAATGAATTCCATACCTTCACAACAGCCTCACTCCCAACCATATGCGCGCGCGACCCAACAGCCACACCACGCCCACGCGCATCCTCAACATCGCGACACGCCCCAACAAGCTTACCCAGATCGTCAAACTTACTCGCCCCATCCGCATCCGCAAAAACAACATACTGACCGCGAACATGGCGCATGCCATGCGTAACAGCCCCGCCCTTGCCCCGGTTCTCAGTCAAGGTCACGACCCGAATCGTTCCAGGCGGGATATGCACACCCTCAGAAACGTGAGGTGTCCACGGCCCAGCATTACCCTTGGGATGAAGCGAGAGCTGATGATCGCGCGCAAAGCGGAACGCGACTTCCTCGGTGCGATCTGTGGATCCATCCGAGACGAGGATGATTTCCCAGCCGCGGTCTGGAATCGAGGTAGCGACGGCGGCGTGGCCGTTCGCATTCGCGTCTCCGTTGGCGGCGGTGATTGGGTTGCGTTTCCGCATTGACCGTGTTTCCATTGTGCTTGTCTCGCTCTCGCTACCGGTGTTGGTATTTCCTTCACGGTTTGTTGCTGTGCCGTACATGCGTTCTAGGTAGTTGACTGCTTCTTCCAGCATGCCGGTTAGGCGGTCTTCTTCATTGTAGGCTGGTACGACGACGGACATGAAGAGGTCTGCCGGTTCGAGAGATGGAGTGGGTGTGCTTTTGCGATCGCTATTGAGTTGCGCGTCTAGGCTGTCGAGCCAGCAGGGGAGTGGTTGGGGGTTTGTGACGGAGCCATCTTTGGCTAGGGTTCTATACTTCTTTTCTTCTGGGAGGGGGACGCGTGGGGATGGCGCGACGAGGAATATGAAGAGGGAGAACTGGTAGATTGTAATGCCACGTTAGCGATTTGCAATTGCAGTTGGGACTGCTCTGGTGTGGTCTGGCGCGGGCGTGTCTGAAATGGGTACTGCACTGCGCGCGCGCTGGTACAAGCGGGACGGAGGGAAAGGTGTCCTGTACTTACCAGGACGAATAGGCCTAGGAAGGTAGCTGCGATTGCGACGAGTAGGATTTGGATTGGGACTTCTGCGACGGTACTGACGCATTGGCGACAGACCTTACCCCAAGCTGTCGCCATGGTGAGCTAGACGTAGGCGGAGGGAGGGACGGATTGGAGACTTGGGTGATGCCCAGGGAATGGCATTCACTTCAGCCGAAGGGAAAATGTTCAATTCATAGGAAGTACATGTAAAATGGAGGATCTCCGGGGAAGAGGGGGAGAGGGGGGAGGAATGGATGTTGCATGTAATCGCCAGCTTGGCCTTTTATCGGCAACGCGCAAGCTGCACCCGAAATTACCAGCGCTCCACTGCCGGGAGCTACGTTTGTTAGTAGAAACTAGTTGGTTTCTGAAGATGCTTATTCGTGGATATTTGTTGGTGTTTTGCATTTCTCTTTGTTTGATACTCGTTTATTTGTTTGGCCTACGCGTATACCTCCATAGATCTGTTACCACTTGAGGTAAAATGTAACCCCCGATTGACATGACACAGGAGTGAAAGTCGATTCCAACAGGGTGGTACTGTAGAAGTACGAGAACTATGCGAAACCAATCCGAAGCTCTTCCTATATATGGTGACGGTGCAACCATGGAGAGAAAGATGTCCACCAACATGCCAGCGAATGCGAGTATACGATACTCGGAGCCTGTATGGCTATGCATAGTTATGCAGTTATGCAATTCAACTCTAGATTCACTCCACGGGTCAGTAGACGGAAGAGACAACTAAAAGCTATGAACAACATCCATGAATCCCTATAAACACCTTCCTATCCACATCTGTTTTCCACTCTCCTTTCTTTTCTGTCTTCTCACTTCTTTTGAAGCTCATTTGTAGAGCCATTTATCCTTGCAATGGCCACCCATGTTAACACATCTGCCTATCCTAGCAAGAAGCCAAGGACTGACTTCCTTGCGAAAGCTTCTGGGGTGACCTTTCTGGTCGTTCCGAAAAACAGGCGTTCCAGGTTGGGAACATTCTGCAGTAATCCAACGCCGACGAGTTATTGATGTAATCCTCGTAGTTCCAAGATGACAACCCCAATGTCAGTGCAGGCGCATAGCTCAGCCCATGGGAAGATTTCCGAGCTCTCAATAATCCACAGGCAGACGCAAGGTAGCAGTCCACGGTAGGGAATCCTAGCATCATAGATCCGAGGCCAAAGGGAAAAACGATCGATCCTTGGAGGATTTAGAGGCCTCAGAGGGGGATCCATGGAAAGACGGTCCAGGTGGTGGCCTTCCTCCAGGAAGAATCTGAGATCTGAGATCTGGCATCTCATATCTGATATCTGTCGTGTAGTCGTGGCCGACTCATGAATATTCCTGCCTGGTAATGAAGGAACGAACAAAAACAAACAAAAGCAAATCCTCTCTCGGATGTCGTTTACTGAAAGAGGCTATGGGAAGGATTAGCGTTCAAGATGGTTGATGGTTTCTTGAACACCGATCCAAATAAAGGGTAAGGAAACACCAGGATTCCACCAGCCAGTCATCCCCACCGAGTGCATGTTCCATGCCACACACGCTCACACACACAGAGGAACCCGAAAAAGAGCTGGTGGTCACCCTGGCCACATTTCAAACTCCCTCCATCTCCTGGTCGACAAGCGAGGGACTAGGTGCCAAGTATATATTCCCACTGAGATGATCAGTAGATTGCGCAATTGGCGCAAATTCGTGTGCGAGTCTGGTAGGCGTGAACCGTCGAGTCTGGTCATATGTCATCCAGCGAGAGAACTAGATATCAAGTGTTGTCAGCGGACAGTGCCCTAGAAAACATCCCAAGTTAAGACAGACAGTTGCAATCCGCACTCCAAGCCACAAGCATCTGTGTCTTCTAGGGAGCATTGTTGATGGCTCTTCAATCAATGATCTGTCGTCCTCTACAGCAGTCTCGTCGAAGAATTTCGCAGGGTAATAAAGCCGGCTCCAAGTTTGTCCTCTAATCAAAAAGTCCTCCGGTAGCTGTTGGGATGTTGTGTCGTCGATTCGGGGGAACGATTCATCTTCGATCTTTGCAATGTTGGTGTCGGGCCGGAGTAAAGTGTTTAGGTAGTTTGCGAGTATCGACCACGGAACTAGAGGCTCGAGTCGTTGGATAGCTGCTGGGTGGAGTGTGAGGCACCACACGAATGCCATAGACGCATGCACGGTTGGAAGCATGTTCGGGTCGCCGGCTTGGCCGAGGATGATTATCAAGGTGTGAAAAGCGAGGGAGCTCGCGCGGAATGCAAATTGGGATGAGAAGTCGGTGTATGGGTGGTTATTTGGATCATTGGGTTCCGTGGTAGCCGCCCACTGCCTCGAGATAGCATAAGCATCTGCTGTGGTGTTTCCGTCGTAAGTAAACTCCGCAGCAAAGGCTCCATCTTTATCGCCATACTGAAAGATCGCAGCGATATTACAGGATGTGATAAAGACGCCTTGCTGTCCCTCTCGACCTAGCCGGCTAACCTCCTGGCGAAGATTGGAAAGGAAGAACTTCGACCGAGCAACAAACTGCTCAACTGGCATATGCATGAAAAGAGCACCATGGGCAGCCACAAAAGAAGTGATCAGAGTGTGTCTATCAGCCGGTGCACTCAGGATAGGATTGAACAGCTGGACCATGCTCTCCCGCGCATTTGAAAATGGGCGCACACTGATCAACGCTTTCGTGTAGTAGAAGAACTGCTGCAGAGTATCCGGACGAGACAACACGGCAAGGTGGTGCTGAATTCGACCAGTTTCAGGACATTGATCAGTATCCTGATTGTACCAATACTTCGAGACCCCTGCCCAAATGTCTCGGTCCGCCACATCTGTATCTTCCACTGCCATACGATACCGCGCTAGATCACCTAGGCACTCGATCCAGGTCCCCCTGAAATGCGGGACGCTCTCCAGAAGGAGTGTCATCATCGAATACGAGAGGTATATAAAGGCTAACATGTGATCTAGCGAGGCAGGCAGTCTTTTGCGCAACAGTTCCAAGCAGGAATGAATCCCATAGCGCCACATGCGAGCAGGCATAGCATACTTCTCAGCGAGGTTCTTCACTACCGGACTGGCTGCTGGATGCTGTGAAGCGAGAAAAAAGTCGTGATGTTCGTGGATGAGCATTCGGTGTAGCGAAATGACCGTTTTCCACTGTTCTTGTGATAATTCCGTCCTTGGGCCCATTTGCGAGAGATTCCTGATCACTTCGATGCACTTTTTCTCCACTATGACCAGCCCGGCGTAGATTTCTCTCACTTCATGAATAAGATGTTCCTCGGCGATGGGGTTGGTCTCCAATTGCCTAATCATTTGCGGGTTTGCTTCCTGAGCAATAGCTGCATAGTCCATATGTGAATTGTGATCTATCACTCCGACCTTGCTCATGTCACGCTCGAGTGACTTCTGGATCTGATACTGTGGGTTATCGCGAGCCCCTTGGAGATCAACAGCCATTGTGCTGTAACCAGCAGTAGGACTTGATTGGGATCTGCCCAATTCGGGACGGGGTGCATGGTTGCGTGTTGACTCTTCTTTTTGTTGGGGATTTTGGTCAATCTTTGCTTGTTCCTGTATACACTGAGGCACAATTTTGTTTATCGGAGAAGCTGACCCTGACAAGCGCTGTCGCTCTTTCACGACACGAAAGCTATCTCGACGTGGTTTGGATGAGAGAGCTACACTGGCACGCGGTGAGCCTTTGATTGCTCGCATGCCTGGGCTACTGAATGTCTCCGTACACTTGTCCTTCGGTCGGGAAGGACTGTCTGAACAGCAGCTCCGATTGGTCATTGACTCAAACTCTTGAGAATATAATCTCTTGATAGATCTACAATTGTGAGCTCAGGGAAAGCGAAACGGAGGGGGCTTACTTACCTGGGTGACGTGTGAACAACTTCCGAGAATCTGGCCTTGGCGCCCCGGGACCAACGCCTCTCCTTGCACGGTGGCGTATTGGCCATTTCAACACATTTGAGCTCAGCCTGCCTGTCTCCAGTGTGATGGATGCCCGAAAGTGGGACCTAAGTTTAGGCTTGGGTCTGGAAGGGGGAGGACAAGGTGAACTTTATAAAGAAAGATTTGAGGCAGATCAGGCGCCTGCCACCCATAAACCCGGGTGCTTCCAAGGATGACGATCACTGTGATTGCCTTCAGTATTTATTTGTGCTGTACCTCTCCTTTTTTTTTTCCGAACCCCCTGTCTCGCGTTGCAGGGAATGTTCTTAACGGATCCTCTTATATGATTGGTAGCGCTGGTGCAATAGCCGCCTTGCTCTGATCTATATACACTCCCAAACAGCCTCACTTGTTTTTTTATGACTGGCTATCACTGGTTGAAAGATAGAATCAGTATTTTAATTATATAAATACGACTTTGTATCTATTTGAAACAGCTGATCCTACATTTTCCCTCTGCCCAATGCCCATGGAGAACACAGGCTTGCCCAACAGCCATTCCAAATCTTCATACAGTAAACCTGCGACCCGATCTGGATAGGCCAAGGAGCCCGTCTGCCCTAGCGCGCGCAAGGGAAGCCATTTTTGAGTGCGTCACCGCTCTTTGGCCACGACCACCGAGCTCGACTTCACCGGTCCTTTTTTTCTCGCAAGCTTTACAGCTTTGACCATGATCATGGCGATTTCGACCAAAGAGCTTTGTGCTGAGCCGGGTATCATGGTGGGCAATCTACTTCGCATTGACTAGTAGTATGTAACATGGCTTTTTCTTTTTCGGATCGTCCAAATCGAGGTAGGTATGAGCTAGCAAAGGGTTTCATTGGAAGGGGTTGGCACACCATTATCGGCCAAATTGCTAGTGGATGTCATTCCTGGCTATCCGGTGATGTGCCTCATGATGGTAATGTAAATGGACCGAGGCCGATGTACTGGGTTTACCAAGGGGTAAATCCACGAGCGTTAAACCACATGGCCATACGGAATACCGGGCTCAGATGATTCCTTCAACTCGAATTTGCTGCGCTGATCATTATTACTGCCTAAAATGCCCCTATACTTCCTCGGTATACTAATTTAAGATTAGAAACAGCCCTTTTTGGCACTCGTATAGTATCAGCCTAACACAAATGTGGACACAAATG